CCCTTTTTTGGTGTGCATTTGTCAGAGATCACCACCAGATTTACAGGGGAAAAGGAATAAAATAAATACTTGTTTTTCAGTACAGTTGTGTGGGTTTGAAATTGATCATGATCTGCTGCTTACTGGCTTCAAAAAAAATATCTGGCCCAGATAAATTCCTCGGTTTGAAAATCTGGCCCAACTAACTTCATAGTTGAATAGGCATGGTCTAAATGAATCTCAGACCTAAATGAGAGTTTGTAGTGATTTATAATTATTATTATAAGTCTGACCTCTTTAATCTACTCAGCTGTCTTGTTTTTAAGTTTTAGTGCAACTACTTTAAGGAACAGACAATGTTTATGCTCTTACTACACAGATTTTTGTTTTTACAGCAAGTTTATAAAAAGAAAAGTCTAATAACTTTACAATTTAAGTCAGTCAGATTTTTATTCATGTAGTAAAACAGCTAAATGTGTTGCACGCACTGAGACTACCGTAACAGGGCTGTCCCACTTCAGTTCTAGTGTGAACAGGAGTTTGACACCTATGGATTAAAGATTTAGTTTAATTACTTTAAGCAAGTGTAGTTGGTTGAGGACAGTCGCGGGATTTTATTTAGCTTTCTCAGTCTTCTTGGCCTGGATGTTGGGCAGCACACCACCCTGAGCAATTGTCACTCAGCCCAGCAGCTTGTTCAGCTCTTCGTCGTTGCGGATGGCCAGCTGCAGGTAGTGGGGACGATCCTGGCGTGGGTGTAGGTTTGGCATTGGTGGGGATGGATGATTCAACCACCGAACGCTGCCCTGCTTTTGTCTTTGCTTCTTGATAAAAAGAGAAATATACTTGCCTACATATGCTGTTCTACATGCTTTTAAACCATTTAAAATTACAATTCATAGTTTTATATGTGAATTATATAATGTCAAATTACTATTAAACAAATGACTAAGAATTTTAGACTTTAGTTTACTTCAGCCATATTTCATATAAATCAGGTATCATACAAAAATAAAAAAAAGCTTCATTTTTGTAACTGAAGTCAGTGATTTCCACGACTGTAGTTTCTGGTATAGAAAGAGCATGAAGATTAAAGTGTGACTATAATATTGATGTAATAGTAAGAAAGGAGCGAGCTCTTGGTGGGAGGGAGGTGGCTCTGAAAAGAGCCGTTGTTTGTAGGAGAGCGAGTAGCTTAAGCTCTCTCTCCGCGGATGCGGCGAGCCAGCTGGATGTCTTTGGGCATGATGGTGACCCGCTTGGCGTGGATGGCGCACAGGTT